AATATAAGATTTTGTCAAGAGTAATGATTTTCTTGTTTTGGTAGTTAAATAATATGTACTATAATCTGATATATAAAACACCAATGTTGTAGTGTGCCCTAAGTGTGTTCATATCCTGCTTTTTTCAAAAATTTACTGCATCAACATGTCCACAATGTGTCGTGTCCGTATCTATCGTCTGTGGCTGTCCTTTGTAATAGTCTCTTGAGATAACGATTCTTGTTTTTTGTCTAACGCCGAAGAAAATTACATGGTTTTAGTTGCTTCTAGATATTTTTTCACCCTTCCCTCTTCTCTTTCCATACATACAATAAGGAATCTCCAGGAGTTTTCTGTTAAGGAGACAATGGGCTTTGGAAAAGATTCCCCAAAGTCAAATTATCCTTCAATAAAAGAATCAAAGTCCTGGGTATCATAATGCTAGGATCTAAAGTTAAACCGTTTAGTAACTTTAGACACTACCCCCACTTAATGTCTTCCAATCTATACAAAACTAGATCACGTAACAAAGCCTAGTGCAAAAATATTGACTATGATCAAGCTATGTTTTATTTGAAATGGTACAAAATACAAGACTTGCTAGCAATTTCAAATATTACCCTTGGTTGACAAGCTCTTGAAGAAGTAAACCATTGCCCGTGCCAACATCAAGCACACTCCAACTAGACAGATCTTTTTCGCAATACCCAGCAGGCTTAGAATTGGCATCATCAACATGGTTCGGCAAGTGACCTTGAGAAATGTCAATGCATAAGCTTTTGGTCCAGGAAGCAACAATTTCCATAACATCAGCTCCAAACCTACAAAGCCAAAGAGAACAAAAAGTGTATTCAATGAAGTTTGCTACATAAAAGAAAACTCCAAAAGACAGCGACCATCCTCCTTTTCGAGGCTTCACTCTTTCTTTTTCATTTTTTTTGCACTTTTTTTAATTTATTTATTTATTTATTTTTTTTTTGTTGGGGGGGGTTGACATACTCTAGAGACTCACGACAAAGCACCACCTATGATCATGCTAGAAGAGAATTACTCCCACGAGATACTCACCTTTACCATTTAGCTATAACAACCCTTTAGCATTTTTCTTGTATTAAAACCATTATATTGTACACAAATCAAATCAAAATTGTACAGATATTAAGAATATGTAACCAAGATGAATATAAAAATATGTCATTATATTGGTGAACTATTTCAAGACGTTTGGAGACAAAGTCACGCCTTATGACCTCTTTTTCACCACCACAAAGTCAAAGGCTCAAAGCACCAAACGTCTACCAACACAACTTAAATATAACATAAACCTTTGTTATATTTATGGAATTAGTCAAATTGAACATATAGCGTCATCGTTCATTGGAATCCATCTGGTCAAACCCTAGATCACATAGAGCGTAAACATGAGCGGGAGCGCAAAAGCAACAATATTCAACAATATGTGAGAGCAGGAGCGCCTTTGAGAGCGCCATATTTTAAAAAAAAAAAAAATATTATATACAAATATATTGTAAATGAGTTAAAAAAAAGAGAGAGAGAGAGAACAGTGAAATAAGAGATAAGGTTATCAAGAAGCACAAAGCGAGCGAGAGAGAAGCTAGTAGGAAGTTGGAAGTTAGTATTGATCCCACATCAGTAATGCAGCAATAAGGGCAATGAAAAACCACCTATAAATACTATTCCATCCCGGGTTTATAAATAGCCCAGGCTTATCATTTCTTTGGAAAATAAATGGGCCTTTTGTTGGGGCCCAACATAGTGAATTATTTATATTTTCCCTTGGGCCAAGGTCCAGCAAAATATTTAGTATAAAATTTTTTGAAATTGGGGAAAGATCCCGAAATTGTTCAATTTGCGGATTGTAAAAATGAATCCGCAGATTCAATGTTTTGAATTCGCGAATTTAGGCCGCATCAGCTCTGAATTCGCGGATTCACAATCTAAGTGCTAATTTGTTGTTCAATGTGCACGAATTGTGTGATTTAGGCCAAACCACAACCAAAATCCATATGCATAAAAAAATGATATCATGATTTTCTTTTCTAAATTTGGTTTTACAATAAAACGCCCATTTTCAATGTAAAGGCCAAATATGTGCTTCAAGGTTGGTGGAAGGCACTTCTATGCTTGATGATTAAGGTCCTAAATATTACCGGACAGTTAAGGACGACATGCCCATATAATAATGTGGATGTTTGAAATGGAAAAGTTTTAAGATATAATGTACCAAAGCACAAAACAAGAGTGATGGCTCCAGAAACAGCAATTAATTCTTTTCTAGTGTTACAGAAAAATAGAAACAGTTTTCGAATAAATTGGAAACCCCATAAAAAGCTTTATCGATGTTGCAAATGCTCAAACATTTTCCCATGTTTCCCAACCCCAAGACAGCAAAAAAATACCAAAACGCTCAATCATATAATTGAACCTTATGGACCTCCATATCCTAGAAATCTCATCCCAATGAGAAAAATAAATCTTATGACGACAAAAAGTAACCATTCCAAAGGTGAGATCAAATTGAATATCCAATGACAAAAAGAGGATAGGTGATGTATGACTCATTAGATCCATCAACACGTCAGACACATATTGGCCCAAGTATCTTCATGCTTTCTTCTTTTCTAGAATAAATAACAACTATGATTTTTTCTTGTATAAAAAATGCACATATACTAACGTAATTATAGTAACATAATGTAACCTCTGATAGATAGACATATATATTTTTGACCTTGCCAAGTCATTGTCCTACTTTCAGAAGATTTTCCTATTTGTTGTCTAGATTTGTAAATCACAACTTCGTTTTTTACCTTGCAGTAGACAACAAAATGTGCTCAAATGTCATGTAGGAATAAGTAGATGAAGTCCAACTTACCAAACCTCACCAGCATGGCCATGTTCGCGGAAGTTTGCCAATTCATCTGCATAAGTGGCATCCCAATAACTCTGGAAACCCAGCATTGATGCAACGGCTTCAGCATCAGGCTCCTCCTTGTCAGAGCTGCTCATACACAAAAGTAGTTTGCTCAAGACAAACAGTTAACCCCTACTAAAACAGTTTCTTCCCAACTTAAATCTTTAAAACTCCTCTAAAATCTCAACAATGCCAACCCATGGCATCCAAGTAGTATTTCTAGTCATATACTACTCGNCAGTTAACCCCTACTAAAACAGTTTCTTCCCAACTTAAATCTTTAAAACTCCTCTAACATCTCAACAATGCCAACCCATGGCATCCAAGTAGTATTTCTAGTCATATACTACTCACATCCAATCTCTCCCTAGTACCACACACCCTACACATGTATAGAGTCCATATAAAACCAGAAATTCTAAAGAAGAATTAGCAGCACAATAATACTGTATTTGAGGAGCATGAAATTATGGCTTGAAATTTAATTGAAGACCACATTAGTCCAAATTCTAATTGATTTTCTTCCAATTCCAGTTTCAGGGCATAAAATTTCTGCTTCCAAACACAATATGACAGTCATCAATATAAGATGCTTATTAAAATTACTCACTAGATATGCATATCCTATGCTAAAAGAATTTCTTAGAAGAGGATCGGAATTCAACTACAGTCATACAAAACAGTTCCACAAATACACCATTGCAGGTTACAGTCTACCATTCAAGCCCATCAATTTTTCTAACAACTTTGTCATCAACAATGAGTCTCCGAAGTGATTGCCAACAATGGTCTTTACTAAATATTTTACCATTTTTTTTGGGTCTAAAAGAGGATCAGAATTCAACTAAAGAAAATCAAGTAGTAACATTGGATCTCCGTTGATTACGAGGTCCCTAATTTTTTACGAATCGAAAATTCCAAAAAATTAAGCAGCTTCTTTCCAACGTTTTCTCATCAGCTACACAGCGCATTATCAGAAACTAGTTAACAGACATTGATTATACTGCGCGATTAACCTGTAATCAGACGCCGCACGGTAAGGGGCAGAGGAGAGAGCTTCGGAGGCATCAGCATGTCGCTGCTCGTCGTCGAGAGTACTTCCGTAGTCGCTCTTTATGGACCAAGAGTCAGCTGCCACAGACCGGTCGTCGTCAGAGATCAGATCGGTGGTGACCGGAGCTCGCGTCTGTGAGATTTCAGAATCCTCCGGCGCCGGTGGCAATCTAATTCCGGCCATTTTCAGAAGAGAGATGAGCAAACCCTAACAACCCAGCGGAGAAATTGGGGTTTTTCAGAGAGAGTGATGACGATGAGAAGAAGAAGTTGACAGAAATGGAAAAGACATTCATAAGTTACACGTGTCTCCACGTAAGACTATAGGGGTAAACTTGGAATTTCGAAAGTGTTCTTAATTTTCTAATATAGGAAATGGGTGGAATTATCTGAATAATGTATGCTATTAATTAAGGGAGAAGAAAAGTTTGGTGTGAATTGTTTGTATTATCTCTTAATCATCTATGATTATCTATAAGCTCATATTTTTATTTTTATTTTTATTTTTACATTCTTATATCTATATCAATTATTTCTTGTCTTATTTTTTTCTAATTACATACATAGATGTCGTGTCTAAATCACCCATGATAACAGAGAGATTGCGACAGACCCAAATAAATGTTGCGAATGTTATAATCATTCCATAATAGGGTATATCTTCAAAATGAGGACATTTAGTATTAGAAAATAAGCATAGACTGAAATTGTGCCAATTCGATAATTTGTTTGGAAACATTGTGATTATTAAAATTCATCTTTTTTTTGGTTCAACAGTAAGAGTTGTCCGAATCAACTTACGCGCACCTTGATATATATTTTGTTTCTACCAATATTTTTGGCTTCTCTTTTTATTTTTTTCATAATTTTGGGTTTTGAAGTATTAGGATTTACTTAGTATAAATAGATACCAAGGCACAATACAAAAATATTGTATCATTAATAAACTTTGTGTTAAGTGAGTGAGTCTCAATGAAAAAATCTAACAGTTATAGTCAAAATAATATGATTAAATCATGTTATTGTCACATTATTAGATCAATAAATTAAATTAATTTTTTTTAATTTCAATAGCATTACTCTTTTTCTTTCCACCAAACCAAATTATATATTTTCCCTCCACGAGCAGTAACCACTTAGCAATGCTTTTAGATGATTTACCATTTATCTATACCTATACTACATATAAAAGTGTGTAAAGATAAAAAACTTTTATTTTCCTTTGTTATCCTTAATTTATACCTTAAATCCAATTTTGTCATTCAACTCAAATGGCATACAAAGCGTTCAGTCTTTAGACCCTACGAATTCTTACAAGTTAAAATAGATATTCCACCAATTAGCATTTGAAACTTACCTTCACTATTAAGAGTGGAAAATCCAACGATCGTTCCCGGGTAGTCGAAAACAGCCTTGGTTATTCCTACTTTTGTTTTCTTGGTAAAGATCTTGCTCTAACAACGACATTTGCCTGATTCTTATGATTTCCTTGTGTTCCAGCCTTGTCAAGTCCCTCTTCAAAATGCATGTATTATTTCTATTCATATGTTGGGAGTTTGTCTTTTCCTTTTTTTTTNATTTTTACATTCTTATATCTATATCAATTATTTCTTGTCTTATTTTTTTCTAATTACATACATAGATGTCGTGTCTAAATCACCCATGATAACAGAGAGATTGAGACAGACCCAAATAAATGTTGCAAATGTTATAATCATTCCATAATAGGGAATATCTTCAAAATGAGGACATTTAGTATTATAAAATAAGCATAGACTGAAATTGTGCCAATTCGATAATTTGTTTGGAAACATTGTGATTATTAAAATTCATCTTTTTTTTGGTTCAACAGTAAGAGTTGTCCGAATCAACTTACGCGCACCTTGATATATATTTTGTTTCTACCAATATTTTTGGCTTCTCTTTTTATTTTTTTCATAATTTTGGGTTTTGAAGTATTAGGATTTACTTAGTATAAATAGATACCAAGGCACAATACAAAAATATTGTATCATTAATAAACTTTGTGTTAAGTGAGTGAGTCTCAATGAAAAAATCTAACAGTTATAGTCAAAATAATATGATTAAATCATGTTATTGTCACATTATTAGATCAATAAATTAAATTAATTTTTTTAAATTTCAATAGCATTACTCTTTTTCTTTCCACCAAACCAAATTATATATTTTCCCTCCACGAGCAGTAACCACTTAGCAATGCTTTTAGATGATTTACCATTTATCTATACCTATACTACATATAAAAGTGTGTAAAGATAAAAAACTTTTATTTTCCTTTGTTATCCTTAATTTATACCTTAAATCCAATTTTGTCATTCAACTCAAATGGCATACAAAGCGTTCAGTCTTTAGACCCTACGAATTCTTACAAGTTAAAATAGATATTCCACCAATTAGCATTTGAAACTTACCTTCACTATTAAGAGTGGAAAATCCAACGATCGTTCCCGGGTAGTCGAAAACAGCCTTGGTTATTCCTACTTTTGTTTTCTTGGTAAAGATCTTGCTCTAACAGCGACATTTGCCTGATTCTTATGATTTCCTTGTGTTCCAGCCTTGTCAAGTCCCTCTTCAAAATGCATGTATTATTTCTATTCATATGTTGGGAGTTTGTCTTTTCCTTTTTTTTTTCTCTTGCAAATTGACAGTGATCCATTTGGTTTATTATGGTGCAAATATCTGAGATTTGATTTGTTAAGGCTTTATCTTCCTTATTGATTTCTATTTTCTATGCACATTTTGTTTCACCACGCTCCAACGAACCCATCTTTGATTCTTTTTGAATTGGCTGTATACATTCTGATTATGAATAAGCACATATGATACTATACTAAAGTTATCCAGTAATTGAGTTGCAGTGAATCTAATCTATTGCCAAAGGTATCGACAAGGTTTTTTGACATAATATTTTGGGTATTCTTCATTTTGCAGTCAAATTTGAGTTGGGTTTCTATCTTTATTGTTTCAAAGAGCTCAAGATTTGATTTTTGTGGAGATTTATGGCTCACCCGCCAAACGATAGGTTTAGTCCTCGAGTTGGGAGACCTGATGGCCAAGGCTGGTAAGCAATATTTTCTTAAGCATCAGCCAATAATGATAATTAATTATTACAATATTACTGTTATATTCAATTTCTCATTGTGGTTTTGTGCAAATTTGGTGAACAATCTCACCATCATTGTGAGGCCTGAGACCATGGAAGCTTTGGCTGAAGTGAGCGTGAAATTGCTAGAAAACTAGAGAGGAATTAATCCATGATTGGTTCACCTGGTTTTTTTTCTCTCGTGTTTAGATTTTATATCTTTATTGTAACTGTTTTATTTTTTCTTTATTGTTAAATAGTTGGATTCCTTGTCCACCCGTGTTTTACTTCTCTTCCTATTAATAAAAATTTCATATCTTATAAGAAACAAAACTTAGATATTAGGTGATTAAGCAGCCAAAAATTAAATGTCCATATCTAGGCACAGTTATTTTTAGAAAGTACTTCTTCATCTGAAAAATCCATCTATGGGAAATTAAATCAGTTTTCTAAAAAATCTTTCATGATCGTTAGTTGGTCACATGAAAGTTTAGAAGTGCTTGACTGATGATTTCTTGGCATATCTTTTGAATGCAATTTGTTTTGGAACTATTTAATTACTTAAGTTCATGGGTTCTAGGTTGCTTGAGACTTTTTGCCAAACGAAATGACTACACTGTAAGAGTGTATATAATTTTATGCTCATTCACAGAGACATGAAATAAGGGCACACTTCAATGATTTAGATATGCATTAAATTTTTATCTTATTTCTTCTTAAGACCTTTTCATGTTTTTAATTAGTGTTTATTTGTACGGACATTTAGCTTAGGTTTTGGTATCTGGATTGCAGATGAAGTGATATACCATGTTTGCATGCCATACCTCCCTAACAATCAAATTGCTACCATAATATTTTACTTATTTTTATAGCTTTAAAGTTTGATTGGGATTTATATAATCTATTAAGGACAAGCAAATGGAGGAAAAAAATGTTGTAACAGATATTCTTATGTGCATAGCTTTGCAAATATCCAAGCCATAAATTTGTTTTCTAAATGAAATTATTGACTGTGATAATGAATAGTAGAAATAAGTTTTCCACTTCTAAAACCATGACAACCTCATTGATTATAAATTTCAATGGTTTCTGCAACCTATATTACTTTAAGTGGGTATTTAGAGGAAAAAAATTGCCTAAAAGTTTTACTCTGTTTTAGTTAATATTTTTGGAAGCTAGGATGAAACCTTTATATTTCTAAAAATATGTATATTTTATTGTGCTTTTGAATGTTTTCATCCTGTACATCTGAGCATAATGGGGAAAAACAAGATATGGAATCGAAATACTTGTACGATGTTCACAATTCCTTGTGTTGTGTATGTCTATTCGTATAATTGTGGGTTGGTTCAAATAATTTTATATGAATACGAGTGCAGATTGCTTTTACAGAAAATTGGCTAATAATATTTTTTTTCTTTTGTCTTGTCGGTTGAAGGATGTGAATCATTATTTCATTTGTTAAACGTCAAACACACATGATAATGGTCATCTTAATTTTATTTCAACCAAATTAATACCTTAACAAAAAAAGTTAAAAGAGTTTTGAAGCTCTAGAAGTTTAGATTGGTCTAACGTCATTATTTTGAAGTTCTTGGGTAAACTATCACTGAGCGAAAGTGGTAAAGGAAAAACAGAATTAGCAACTGTCATGATTTCCTCCACGCTCCACACAACCCAAATGACTTTTACAAACTAAGCATTGCATTCTTATAATAGCTTATGTGTTCCTTGCTCATGACATAATAGCATTGCATCCATGTAGTTTTTTTTAATTTTTTTTTTGGTTAACATATTTAGAAGTTCCAGTATGGTCATTTAACTATAAATTGATCAAGTAATATTTTATTTTTAAAATAATACAAAAAAATATAATTCAAAATAGTTCACGTTCAACGCACGTATGCATTAACTAGTTACTAATAAAAGTACCCTGACATAAAAAAAATTTGATTGACTATTTTGTCCTTATAAAATAATAGTAACTACTTAGCAATGCTTTTAGATTATTTACCATTAATCTATATTTATCTATACCTATACTATTAATAAAAATACATTGACATTAAAAAAACTTTGAT